CCAAGTTTAATATCATTCACTAGTTTAGTATTTTTGATGAATAAAAAAAATGTTTTATAAAAAAAAATCAAACAAAATAATAATAATAAAAAACTCTTATAATAAAAATAGAATTAAAGCAAAAAGTTTTTAAAAATTTATTTTTTGTGAATTTTTAAGAGACTAAGATTATATAAAATCTTTCAATAACTATAAATAAAATATCATTTATTTATTTAGTTTTTTTGTATTAATGCTTATTTTATTTATATCTAATAAACATTATTTTCAGAATATGCTATTTTAAAAAAATATATATAACTATTTGTATTTTATTCATGTGTAAATAATTTAGTAACATTTGCCGTTAACTTAAAGCTAAAATGTATTTAAATGTATAAATACCTTATTATTATGAAATGTATTAAAACTATAACATTTTATTATATGACTTATTTGAAATTTAATTTATTATTTTATCTTATATTTTTATATATAAGTTAATAATTTTAATATAATATAGTTTTATGCGCTTTTACACTAATATTTTATTTAAAATACATTTATGTTGATATAATTTAATTAATCTTTTTACATGCAATTTACTTAGAAATTATTGCTATTCATAACTTTATTTTATGAATTAATACATAAAATGTTATATTTTACGTTTTACAGATATAAATTTAATTAATTATACATATAAAAAGCATTTATTTTTTAAATATTTAAAATTAATATTATTATCATTTTATAAATGGCTAAATAACTTATATATATATATATTATTATAACTATAGTTTTATATTTTAGAGATTATAACTTTTTAATTTAAATTTTTTAAGTGAATTCAAGCTAAAACTTACAGTAATATCGTAATAAAATTAATATTTATATAACATATATTTTTTAAGTCTAATAACTATTATGTTATATTTTTGGCTAAAATTTTATTTCTAATCTTGATATTAAAATAAAATAAATAATTTTTTCATATCAAGCGCCCACCCATTCACTAACTTATATTATGACAACAAAAAGTTATTTATCAAAATAAAAAATAATAAAATAAAAAGTTTTATACATTAAAAAATAAAATAAATGTTATTATTAATACTGTAGTAATAAAATCAACAAATATTATGACATAGTCTATAAATATATATAGAAATATATACATATCATAGATGTATAGATACCCCAACAAAATCTGAAAAAATACGGACACAACTTATTTTTGTGTGATCCGGATAACTGTAATTTGTTTTCTAAATATTTTCAAAAAATTAAAACAAATAATTGATTAATTTTTTACATACAGTACTATATGTGATATAAATTATATAATTGGTTGACAACTGTATGAAATTCAATCATCACACATATCTAAAAACAAATTATCTCTATAAATATATACTGTATTTATTTATTTGTTTTGTTTGTCATCTGAAAAGTTAAAAATATTTATTATTATTTTTATTGCAAATCAATATACTGAACGAATTATTGGAAAATCAATCAAATAAGAAACTTTTACTTACATAATATAACAGTGTTTATTATAAATTTCAATTTATAAAATTTTTTAATTTTATCTAATTTTCTAAATAAGTATGTTTTTTTCGACAAAAATATTACAATTTGTTTAAACAAACTATTTAGTTATTTAGTGAGTGAGTTAGTAAACGAGAGAGAGAGAGAGAGAGAGAGAGAGAGAGAGAGAGAGAGAGAGAGAGAGAGAGCTATCCTATAACAGTACTCAACTATCATTTGTTAACAAAACTAATAGTAAATGATGATTATATACATTAAATTTTGTGCTAAATTTGTTTTCACCACTGTTTTTATGTTACACTCAAAGTGTGATAAAGAAATACATTAATAGTTTTTAGTGTTGTTGTTGTTGTTGTTGTTGTTGTTACTGTCCAACAATAATTTTAAAGAGATTGTTACGACTAAATGATATAAAACAACAACAAAAATAACAACAACAACAACATCACAGCAAAAAATTAAAAAACAAAATATTTTTCATGCATTTGTTAAAAGACAAAATATATTTATATTAAATTTGATAAATACATATAAGTATTATATCTTATACTTAAATTTTCGCTTTTTTAAATTATTACTTAAGCATCACTTCAACTGATAAAATATTTTTTTTTATTATGTTGTTTAGCACAAAACATAAAGAGATATATATCTATATAATCATTATACATTTATGATATAAATTGGTTTAATATAATAATTTAGTAAAAAATTTCATTAAGGCTCATCACACGATATATTTTTTTGTTGGTATATAACATAATGATAAATATAATATAAAAATTGCTGACATAGACGTCACCATCAAAAGTGGTACTTAAATATTGATATATGAAATGCAATTTTGAAATAAATATCTTTGAAAAATATTTAATATTATTATTATTAAATTAATAATGATTGTTTTACTTGAAATTATCTACTCAAAAAATATGCTACTACACTTTTACTAAATAATATTGTATTTAAAATAATCTAAATATAAATTAATCTACAGTATACTGTATATCTTTACATTGTATCAAAACATAAAAATATTTATAACAGTTTTGACATTGCATTTAAAATTATTATCTTTTAAGTGCATTACATTAGTTACTAGAGTAATAATAATTAAACTAATATCATCATTATTTTGATAATAATAATTACTATTAATTTTATGCTGATCAATTTGTGCAAACATAGACAATATTAATTTAAATTACCATAATTTATATGCAAACTAAATCAATTATTGCTTACTGGACTATATGCTTGACCTGGCTTATAAATTTTACTGTAAAGCATGGGGCCAATGGCGCAACGGATAACGCGCCTGACTACGGATCAGGAGATTCCAGGTTCGAATCCTGGTTGGCTCGCATATATTTTTTTTTTGTTTTTATCTTATATTTTGTAATATAATTAATTTTTTTTATAATCAACATATTTTCAATACTATTTATCGATTTGTTATGATTCACAAAAAAACTTTCTTTTTTTTAAAGTATTACAACAACTTAACAAAACTATTATATATACTCTAATATGGATTAGTTTAAATTTTATATCCTTTATATGCTATATATAGTACTATACTAATAGTAAATTTATGATTGTATAAGTGTGTTTGTGTGTATGTGTGTGTGTGTGTGTGTGTGTATAAGTGTGTTTGTGTGTGTGTGTGTGTGTGTGTGTGTGTGTGTGTGTGTGTGTGTGTGTGTGTGTGTGTGTGTGTGTGTGTGTGTGTGTGTGTGTGTGTGTGTKTGTGTGTGTGTGTGTGTCTATGATCTTTAATTATGCTTCGCATAAGTGATTACATTGTTCATAATATGTCACTTAAACTACAATATCATAATAATTATATTAATGGATACATTAATTATTTTAGTTTTAGTTTATAAGATATTAGGAAGTAATTTATTAATGATTCATTTTTAATATTAAACTTCATAAAAAGCATCTAGGTTACTTAAAAAAATAATTAATAATTTATTATAATAATTATAAAGTATTATTTTTGTATTTAACGATAATTAAAATAGTTATATTTTTAAAATATATTTTTAATAACAATATAATTATATTATTTATTTTAAAAAATTACAATATATTCAAATCATAATTAAATAATTATTAAACAAATATTGATATAAAATACAAAATCTAAGTTTAATGAAAAATCAGTATTATAAGTTTTTATTTTATTTAGTAAACAGTAATTTTAAACAACTTACTGTATATTCAGTATATATATTCAATTTAATTAAAAATTATAAACATTTAGAACTGAGAGTATATATATATTTTTTATTTTCTAATTTAAATTATAAATTATTTTTATAAAAATTGTAAAAACTAATATTTTTCTCAATTTTTCATAAGTATTACTTACTTTTAGAGAGCACTTATAACAATAATTATAATAGTATTGACTTAATAAACACTTTACTTTTCATAAGTAACTGTCTAAAATAAATCAAAATTTTTAATTAAACTTATAATACTGTATTTGGCATCAATTTAAAAACATTTTGAAATAAATAGGTGAAACACTGAAAAATATTTATTTATTAATTTTTATACAAACTTTTAATAAAAACAATAAATGTAAACTTTAAACATTAATATTGTATAAATCTAAAATTAATCTATTCATTATATTATATTCATTAAATTCATTTATTTAATCATTTTATTCATTAAATATGTTTATTTACTAAATATTATATGTATTATAATTTATAACAATAAGTTAAAGTAAATTTGTTTGTTGTCAAAAACTATAATCTCAAACGTATATAATTTTAAAGTACTATATTTAGAAATAATTGTTAAAACAAATCTCTAGATATTTGGTTGCTTATTAAAAATCTATTTAAAGTATGTTTTAATTTGCAGTTTAAAATTTTTCTACAAAACATGATCAGTAATTAACGAAAGAAAACTAAGAAATAAACCTAACTTAAAGTGCAAACGTTGTTAAACAAGTTATTATAAATTAATAATAATAATAATATAAAATATATCACAAATTTAATACATAATAAATAGGACGAATAAAAATCTTTTAAAACATTAATAATTATCAGAAAGTATTATCAGAAAAATGCAAACAAACCATGAAATGGACACAAGATTTCTGATTTCAATATAATACTAATAATAATAGTGACACTAATTATATATATATATATATATCATATGTAAGTTTCCTATTGTTAAACATTATACTTATAACAAATACTATAATTATATACTGGTATATAACAACATCGCTGACCGTTAAATTCAAGTATAATTATAATAATAATAATTATTATTATATGAAAAGATATCATTATTGTTATCTATTTATTAAATATGACATTAATATAACCATATAATCATCTGCTGAAAAAAATTGAGATAAAAAAAGACATTTTTGTGTGATATATATGCTATAATATACAGTATTAAATAAAATCAACAAAATGAGCGGTGAATTGTTTAACAGCGAAACATTGTTCAACATTTATGATAACTATTCAGCACTGAATGCGGCCAACAATAACATTGGTTACGACAACATGACGTCCGGTGCCGGACTACTAGACAATTATACAGAATTATTAGCCATTAATGACAATAACAACAACAACAGTGCTATCTATGGAAATGATAGCTCCGGTGAACGGTTAATACCCGATGAAGTTTATCTACATTTTCTTGATTCGTCACGTTTTTGGATACAACGAATACTTGTGCCGCTTATTATGATTATCGGTACAATTGGTAATACCATTACGATAGTCATAATGACCCGCAGGCGTATGCGATCGTCGACCAACTGGTATTTGGCAGCACTGGCCATATTTGATATGCTTTACCTAATCTTTACGTTTTACCTATCGTTTCGACACTACGACAACATTAAGGACTTGAAATTTTACTACTATTGGCTTCTCTGGCCGTACGCCGTCATGATATGTGACGGATCGTCAAACACATCCATTTGGTTGACCGTCACGTTTACCATTGAAAGGTATGTATTAAACACTTGATTGATATTTGAAAATTAAGATATATATAAATTATATCATTTTATATGATTTATGTATTGTATTATAGATACTAAAAAATGGATAATTTTGCACAAAAAAATATCAATACTTTTAATAAAAAAATTTTTATTTAAGTAATTTATATTAATAAAAGCTATAAGTATTTTATATGTTATAGTTGTGTACTATAACTGTTTATAACTTTATAATAAATATGAACACAACTTTATAAACTACATTTAAAATACAATATTTGTTGTTAGTATTTGAAATTATAATCATTTTGTTGGTAGAGTAGGTTTTAGGCTATAATTTAATTTGAAAATATAAATATATTATTACAGTCAGTATTTTGATAAAAATTTTATTTTATAAATTATTATTATTATTATTATAACTTTTAATATGTAATAATTATAATAACTTAATAAAGCGAACAAATAGTTTTTTTTCAGTAGATAAAGATTTTCTATAGCAATGAACTAACTATTTATAAATATATATATATATACTGTATATATATTTATAATTTTATTATCAATTTTTATTACTGTTATTGTTATTTTTTAGTGTTATGATGACTCCTACGACTATTATTATTTTATTATTATTTATTATTATTTTTTTTATTGTACATAGAATTATGATTAAGATTGCACTAATAATAATAATAATAATAATTCACAAAAATAAGACTACATATTTTAATATACACACAAAAATGATATACAATTAATTCATAAAATTTCTAATAAATTATAATAAATTAATATAAAAATTTATATTAATGTGATTGAATTTTTCTATAGGCAATTCATAAAGCACAATAAAAAAATTCAATCATGTTATTTTGAAAATATAATAAATTTGTTTTGTATGATTTGTTTGCATAACAATAAATGTTATATAATATGTTAATGTAATGCTATATTCATACACTGTATATACTGGTATATTCATACAGTGTATATACAGTACATTACATTTCTATTTATTTAAAAAGAAAAAATAATTTTATTACTTTATTAAAGATTAATTACATAGAAATTGTTATTTTTCCTCATTATTTAATTTATTATCCTAAAAATATACAATTAAATAACCATAATTAATTTCAAAACACTATATGCTGTATATTTGATAAATAATTATAACAAAAAAAAGTATGATTAAAATGCAACTTGACTTGAAATAAATTATAAAATTTAGTCATTAAAGTAATAACAAAAAATTATTATCAAGTTTATTGTTTTTAAAAGTTGAGTATAATCCTCGAAAATTAATTTTATGCATTATAAAACTTATAAGACTAAAATGTTTAAAAAATGCCATTACTTTAATTGAAAAATTGTCTTTAATTTTTCAAGTATTATGCATAAAATTATAATGCAATATACTGTTTATATATAGTTATATAACTTTATAAAGTATATTGTACTGTATATATAAAGCTATTTAGTAATAACAATAAAATTTTCAAGTGATTTATCCGTTTAATTAAAATCACAAACAAATAGATAACACAAACATATTGTGTATTATATATTGTATATATAAATATATATATAGACTAAATATATGGTCACAAATAATTGATGAGACACTCTATAATCTTGGGAGTCATTATTTTCTCAAAACATACACTCATACACATACATACACACACACACACWCACACACACACACATACATACACACACACACACACACACACACACACACACACACACACTCACACACACACACACACACACATACATACACACACACACACACACACACACACACACACACACACACATACATACACACACACACACACAGAGATATATACATAAAGCATTTTTGACTTTTATATTGTGTAAATAAAAGTCATTCAAATTCAATTAAACTTAGTTTTTTATTTTATTTTAATACTTAACTTTTTTTGTTGTTTATTATATTAACAAAAAACGACAACTAAAATTAATTACGATATAATACAAATTATTTTACGAGTAAATGATTTTTTTTTCATTTAGACATTAATCCTATTGCTAGGTTACATTAACTATTAAGCAATGTGTTTTCTATATATTAGATTTTTAAACACTTATTGTTTAAGATACTATCAAAAAATAACTGTCTAATTAATTAATGTAATTATTTCTTTTTAAACATACAATGTATATTAATAATAATAATAATACTGCAGTAATAAAATATGGGTTTATATATTATTTTTTAGCTCATTTTTTTACAATAACAATAATTAAATAATCTATATTTTTTTTGTTGATCAGAACCTACTAAAATCTTTTAGAAACTTTAAAAAAACTAAATTATTTATAATCAGAAACTTAAAAATTATTATCTTTATTACAAACAAAAAGTATTAAGTATAACAAATAAATTTTCAGAGCAAATATGTATAATTTATAAGTTATAATATAGTATATTGATATAAATATATATGTATATATTATTTATATACAAATAATATTTTCTATTTAATTTTAATAAAAAAAAAATATTAAATTTAATTTTTATATTTATACAGAAATAATACAATTATTAATTTATAATATATTTATTAAATTGATTTTAAAACAGATATATTGCCGTTTGTTATCCAATGAAAGGGAAAGTTATTTGCACTGAATCGAGAGCTCGCAAACAAATTTTCTGTGTATTTATTGTATGTTTTGGATTTACAATACCCACACCGTTTGAATGGGAAATACTTGAACGGTTTGAAGCCATAACCAACCAAACAGTCCTACAGGTAATACCGTCGGCATTGGGAAGCAATGAGATATACAAATTGGTCTACTATTGGCTGACAGTTGTACTATTCATATTCATACCGTTCCTATTGTTGACAATATTCAATACATTTCTCATACGATCTGTACATTTATCGCGCCGTCAGAGACGGACAATGACCAGACCTAATGAACAGGCAATGAAAGCCACACTAACGTCAAGTTCATCAACGGTTTGTATTATAATAAATATATTCATATATAAGATATTATGTTTCAATATATATATATATAGTATATATAAATTATATACAATCTTACTGTATATATAAACACAGTATATTTATGTGTGTATAATGTAATAGAGTTTTATAGATGTGATATAATCATAATGTTTGAATGAAACACTATTTTTGTGGTCTACTATACTATACTATACTAGACTGTCTGAAAATGAAAGATATGATAAATTTAGGGCAGTATTCATGTGTTAAGGATTAATAAGCACTTGTATCCGAAATAAATTATGTATTTTTACTTAAAAGGAAATACACTTCCATTGTTAGAGATATTAATTTTGAGCTTCAAGTTTGCTCTCTCTCTCTCTCTCTCTCTCTCTCTCTCTCTCTCTCTCTCTCTCTCTCTCTCTCTCTCTCTCTCTCTCTCTCTCTCTCTTATTCACTCACTTTCTCTTTCTATATGATTCACTCAATGGACAAACACTGTGTGCCAACCATTTCATTCAAAACTCTAATAATAATTGATAGATATTTTTGTGGAAAAATTTTCCACTTATATGATCTCTAATCTTATATTTTAGTCTCAAAAAAAACTTTATTTTTTAGTCACTGTTATTTATGACTACTTGTTTTCTCAATTCTAGTATCGCAAAAACAGTAGTCAAACGTTTAGTGAATGAGTAAGTGTGTGTTGTGTGTGTATGTATGTGTGTGTGTGTGTATGTATGTGTGTGTGTGAGAGAGAGAGATAGAGAGAGAGAGAGATTCAAAATTTTATATATATATATAATTATATTTATATGATATAGAGCTGTAGTGCAATAGTAAAACAATTTTGTTAGAATTGAAAATAATAATAATAATAATAATAATACAAAAAAATGATTATTTTTTGTAAAGTTAAATACAGTAGTTTTAAAATGTCCATTGATTTAGTCAATTTAATAATAAAACAAATAGGAAGTTTAGTTTAGTTTCAATTTTATCCAACAACAACAACAAATGAAAAACTAACAAAAATATTAACTTTTATTTTTAAGTAAATTAACTACAAAAAAATAAATAAATAAATATTTTGTAACGGTTCCAAAAAATATAATATAATATTACAATTTACTTAAAATCCTATTTGTTAAATGATTGTTTCCGAGAAACAAAATAAAACAAACAATGATTTCATTATTTAGAAAAACAACGAAAAATCATTATTTTTTTACTAAATTGTCAAAACAACTAATCTTACAAAAAAAACTAAATAATAATAAAATAAAAAAACAATTTTTAAAAATTTTATTATCATAGACAACGGCGCCACCGGCCGACACGTCATCCAAACAAGAGTCGCGTATAACCATAATGTTAATAGCAGTGGTCATACTGTTCCTTATATGCCAACTGCCGACAGCCGTTACCCTAATCTATACGGCCTTTCACGACATCGACCTGAACACCAACTCCGGTGTACTCATACGCGGTTTGGGCAATATATTCAACTTTTTGATGGCCATCAATGCGGCCGGAAATTTTGTACTCTACTGTTTGCTTAGCAACAAATATCGGCGAACATTCCTCCAGAGTTTCTGTCCCTGTCTTAAGGGTAAAGTTCAGAGACTGCAAAGTGCTTACCAACAGACAAATGTCTACACAAACTCCACATCATTGGCCAAGAAGTCAATGAAATCGCAGTCATCGTTGGACAGAACCCGTACGTTAGTGTCCAAGAGGTTGGTCTCGTACAGGGAGGCCATCAATCAACAGTCGTTTGATAACGTGGTCATTGAAAATACTAAACTTAACGGCACTGTTACTAATGTTAATAGAAGTATTGATAAGTGGTAGCTAACAGTGTCATTGAAATGAATATTATATAAATATATTACATAAGAATATTCATAAACATAAGTATTGTTATTATTATTAAGTATTTAATTATTTATATAAATGTTAGTAAAAGTGCTAGTTTATTTTAATTAATTAAATGTTGATTCATCATTGTAAATATTGAAATGATATGTTATATACCACTGGTGATCAGCAAAGTGATTTTTGATTATTTTGATTAAAATGCACTGTCGAAGCTTATGGTTTATTAAAATATATTTCATCTAGCTCAAATACACTGTTACATATTTATTTTAATTAAGTGGTATATTTTATTTAATATTATATAAAAAAGGTTATTAAATTTGTGTATTAGAATTTTTTTGTTTTTTATCTTGGTCAGTAATTATGTTTTCAAGTAAGGGACCGTATAATCATTGTGATAACGGCTGTTATATACAATATATATATTTTTAGAATATATTTTATGTTAATCATTAAAATTAATTATATTAAATTGTAACATTTTAAAAATTATATTTGTTATATACTGTATATTTATCTATTTTAATTTATAAATGTAATATATTTTTCAATTATATATAATTTATATATATTTTAAGTTATTTCTATTGAATTGAATTTTATGTTTTGATTATTTATTGTATAAAACTGTAAATCCTTATTTGAAATTAAATGTTATTTATACTGTAATATTAAGTTTGTATTAGTTTACAATATACATGTACTGTATATCAATATATGCTTTAGTAGATATATCAATAGTCTATGCATACTACTATATATGTGATTACAGTAATACATTTTTAATAATAATAATTATTACTAATTAATTTATTATGACAGGTAATCATAGAAATATTAATAAAAAAACTAAATGATTACAAGGCTAATATATTTTTTATATTATATAAAGTTAAAATACAGATAATTCAATGTTTGAGTTCTCTTAAAAACAATTGATTTGTGCGATATTTTCAACAAATTATTATCATTATAATTGTATTACCAATATTTAGAGTAATAATAATAATAATAATAATAATAATAATAATAATAATAATGCTTTATAACAAAAATTGTTTAAATATATACTATATATATATAAATTTCTGGGACGAATACATTAGTTTTGCTACTTTGTATGTATACTGGCACTGGTATGCTATATATATATATATATAATTTAAAAGATATCAAAATTCGTATTTTATAATTTAAAATATATTTTTATATTATTATCAATAAATTGATTAAAAAATGAAAATTTCAAAATCTCATAAAATATTATAAAATATTTATACAAATATATATATATATATAATAATATTTAAAATGTTATTCATAATACTCATAAATTATTATAATGGTAAAATAAATAATTATAATAGGTAGTTACAATAGATATTTGTTCTTTAACAAAATTATTTTTAACAATTGAAAATATGCTTTATAACAAAAATTGTTTAAATATATACTATATATATATATATTATTTAAAAGTTATCAAAACATGATATGGCAAGGTACTTTAATTATTATTAACAATATAAACTAGTACAGTATTATCAAAAATCAATATGATGATACATTATCTATTAAGTTTAGTAAAATAAAAATTAAGAGCAATTAAAAATATATTTTAACAAAATAAAATTATATACACTTATTATTATTAATTATCAAAAATGCAAATATTAGTTAAATTAGTTTCAATTTTATTTATTTGCTATAATGTGTTGGCATTTCAAGGCAGTGATGATGAGATCACAGACCTCCCGGGTATACCAAAAGGGGTTACATTTAAGCAATATTCGGGTTATTTGAATGCTTCGAAGGGTCGACACTTGTTCTACTGGTTAGTCGAAAGTCAGACCGATCCGGCCAATGCACCGGTAGTTTTGTGGCTTAATGGCGGTCCCGGTTGTAGTTCAATGTTCGGTATGCTTACCGAAAACGGACCCTTCCGTGTGAACAGTGACGGCAAAACACTGGAAATACATAACCATTCGTGGAATTCGGTGGCAAATATCATCTATTTGGAGGCACCGGTTAGTGTCGGGTTTAGTTACGATGAAAACACTAATAAACCAAAAAATACCGACAACTCGACAGCTGTGGACAACTATTTAGCTCTCGAATCGTTTTTCTTGAAATTTCCGCATTTGAAGAAAAATCCGTTTTATATAACCGGCGAAAGTTATGCCGGTATTTATATACCGATGTTGGCTAAAGAAATTTTTACCCGAAAGTCAACTATCAATTTGAAAGGTTAACCCATTTTTTAAAAATTTTATTTTAGTTAAATAACTTTTGCAACAAACTGTATATAAAAAGAAACATTTGCACAGTTATATCATTCATATTATGTTGTGTTTCGCTATCAATAGGTGTCGGCATTGGTAACGGATTGCTGTTAGAGACTCAATCAAAACGCCAAAGATCTCAATCGGACTATTATTTCGAGTTAGGACACGGTTTGGTCACAACCTATAGCTATGAGGCACTCATCGAAAACTGTTGCGACTGTCCGGCCGGTCAGCCTCAACACGTGTGCACACTTAGTCACGCGCCTAATAAAACGTATGTTATATACATATAGTATTTTTCATCATCATCATATAAATTGTCGAATAATATTTTAGCATGATTAATTATATGTATTTAAATTATTTATACCTATGTATATGATAATTTTATTTTTAGTAAATGTGCTAGTACACATGTGGAATCGGTAGGTTACGGTCCCAATCCGTACAATATTTATGATGTATGCGCACCCGATATCAATATGCAACAAGTGTTCAACAAGTACTACCGTAATGCATACACCAAAACTAAGTCAATGCCAGTCAATTTTAACATTGGCGCCAACAAAGCCGACTGTCCCAAGGATGGTCACTATGAGTTTATGAATACCGATGCCGTACGTAAAGCATTGCACGTTCGGGAAAATTCGGGCACTTGGCGGGGATGTGGCGGCAGTTATTCAGATTTTGGTACACCACAGGACCATAATTTGTTACAATTGATCAATGAGTTTAAACTGGAGAGGACAGTCGTCTACAATGGCAATTGGGATACTGTTTGCGATTTCATAAGTGATCAACAATTTGTTGATGGACTCGGCTATAAGCAAATCGGAACATATAAGTTAGTTAACAAACAAAATTATTTTAATTATATTTAGTAATGTTTCAATCGGTAATTTACTCAACAATTTTTTTTACTCCTAATATATAACATACAGAACGTGGTTTAGAGAGGATGGCTTTGTTGGCGGTTTTGTTAAACATTTTGAAAAATCCCTGAGTTTTGTTGTAGTCCGCGGCGCCGGCCATATGGTTCCCGCTGACCAACCCGAAGCTGCACTACATATGTTTAAGTTTATTATTGGAAAAGGTCAACTATAATAATTATTATTTTTAATTTTATATAATTAAATTGATKATAACTATAATAATAATAATAATAATAATAATACAGTGTATTGATCGCAATTTTAAAATAAATAAATAAATCGACAATTTTTCAGTGAAAATTAAATTAATAGTGACTATATATATATATATCAATATACAGTATATTTTTTAAATATAAACATAGAAAGTTTTATTAATTATTAATGTATATATTTTGTAATTTTGTAATTATGTACATTAACCCTGAAATATTGGGATATATACAGTATATTTGGCAATAATTTTTTTAWAAATAAATAGATATATAAATATAAATGTATAGTTAGATATTGTCTAAATATAATCAGCTGATACATGCATGAAAAAAATTATCATATCTTTTAGTGTATAGACTATAAGATATAATGAAACTAATGATATTTATCAATAGTAGGAACACTTACAGTATATTAAAATAAACAAATTTTCTTCATGTATTGACAATTGTCCCCTCAATTGAAACCACTATATTGAAGCCATTACCAGTGATAACTATCTATCTATTTATTAAATTTATCTATTAATACAAACGCTTGATTCAGCAGTTTTTAAGCAGCAATGGACTTAAAACCCAATTATAACATCCAATGTAAACTTGTATTATTTATTTAATGATATTAAGAGAGAGAGAGAGAGAGAGAGAGAGAGAGAGAGAGAGAGAGAGAGAGAGAGAAATACTTAAATKCAATTTACTTTTTTTCTTGTTGTTGTTAATGGTATCTGTTTTAGATATAGTTTTTTTGTGCATACACTTTACTATAACTCATGTGAAACAAATAAAGTATAATATTATATAAAGTTATATCAATTTATTTGTTGATTTTTTGATGTGTGTGTGTAAGTGAAAAGTCAAACACACTTTTGTCGCATCTATAATAATATTAATAATAATAAAATATAAAAGTGTTTATATTTACAAAAACTATTTACAGTATAATAACTTATTTTTAAGGATATTTGATAGTTAGTGTATGTGTTGTTTTTGTCACATATAAAAAGTGAGACAAAAAAAGTAAGAAAAAAGTTTTTCCTCTATTTACTGATAATTTGATTTAATAACAGATTTGTTTGCGTAAAAAATAGTAATCAATTATTAATATTTTTGTGAATATTAAAACTAATAAATGATTCAGTAATTTTAATATTTATATTAAAAAAATTATTAGTGTTAAAGTGTATATATATCTCTCTAATTATTAAATAATATAAATTCAAAGTCATGAGTATACGGGGAGAGCCTATGGAAACTGATATCCTATTAGGATATAAAACCAATGGCCGTACTGTTAGGCCATTGGCGCCGACAAAGTCGCCAATATTTCCGTCGACACGTTGTTATGTGGCATTCATATCATTGATGGGTACGGCTATTATGTATATTACACGGGTTAACCTAAATGTAGCCATATTGGCAATGGTTAACACAACTCAACTAACCGAATCGGTAATTCCGTCAACCAATTGGACTAATAGTATTGGATTGGATGTTACAGTTATTTCAGATGAACTTCAATGTCCCGGTTCTCAATTGAATTCAGTGTCAACTAATCAACAATTAGATACAATGCCATCAAAACCACTGATGGTCAGCGAGTTTTATTGGTCGCCACCCGAACAGGGGATAGTTCTCGGATCATTTTTTTACGGTATTTTCAATATTTATTTTTAAAAAAACATTTGTATTATTTAATAAATATATTATATTTAACATTTAATTTAATTAAATTTTTGTTTATTTATTTAATACTGTATTTATATTGATACTGGCAATTAATGTTAAGAAAATTTTATCGTATTATTATTTATTTTAATTAAATTATATTTATTTATTTAGTTATTTTAATTTCAATTGTGATATATCCTATGCTAGGTTTAGATTAATTATTTAAACAGACAGTTAAAAAAACTATTTTGAAATGAATTTGATTGCAATTATCGTAGTTTATTAATAAACTCCTAAAATTAATTATTGATAAACATTTTAATAAATAAATAAATAAACAAAAATAAACAATTTTCAGACAAATTTCACAATTATTAATAATGCATTGCATTGTAATACAGTAGTCATTTCCTATATTTAGTATAATATATAATAAAATAATTCAATTTAATTATTTAGAGCAATCAATTCATTAATTATTTAAAATTTTAGTTTCAAATATTAATTACGGTTTATATTTGTCTAAATAATATTTATTGTTCTAACATTTACTTAGAAAAATTTGAATTATTTCAGTAATGTTCAAGCTCATTTTAAATTAATGATAAACAAGAATAATGGAAAATAGCTTAGTTTTAAATATTATTGATATWTTTTTTTAATTTTTAAAACTATTTATTAATCAGATATAATATAGAAAATTATATAATATTTTTGTTTTTTTTTGTTTTGTCTTTCTCGTGATCAACATTTACTTAATATAACAAATCTATATCATTAATACCGTATWTATATATTATATACAGATAATGATTTTGTTTTATTAAATTAAATATTATATATATATATATATATATATATATATTACTAATTTCTAAACTAATAATATATTTATTATCTAAATAATACAGTAAATGTCATTGAATTTTGTAAACAAGTTTTATTATTAAAATAATATTATTATTGAAAATTAATTAATAAATATATAAATTATAATATTAAATTAAAATATATTTTATTAGAAAATATATCAAATAAAAAAATTTAATTATTTTTGTTTATTAAAATTAATTTAAAAGGCTATATTTGGCCACAAATTTTTGCTGGACGTTTGGCCGAACTATACGGAGCCAAATATCTGATATTATTGTCAACATTGGTGTCGGCAGTGATAAACCTGTTGACACCTGTTATAGTTCGCACCAATTTTGTATTGTTTATCACTTCACGAGTATTATTAGGTGTCTGTCAGGCAATGCTTTATCCGGCATTTTATGCACTGTTTGCCCGATGGATACCCGATGAAGAGCACAGTACGTTCATGCCGTGGTTGGACGCAGGTATTACCATTGGCACAGTTATTGCCAGTGCAGGCGCTGGAAAAATGTTAGATGAAAACATGTTGGGCGGTTGGCCATCAATTTTCTATATATCCGGATTACTAGCATTGGTTTGGTGTGTCGTTTGGTGGCTTACCATTACGTCCACACCCGACCAGCACAGGTGGATCTCGGAAAAAGAGTTGGCATTTATTACCAAACATACATCTCGTGAGAGTAACACCAATGAGACAGCGGCTGCCAAACGATCAGTTCCCTGGAAACGGATATTCATGTCCAGCGCTTTCCTGTCGACACTCATAGCCAAAGTCACGTACGGAATAACGTTTGATTTTATGACCAGTAAAATGCCGGCTTATCTTCAGGATGTCATACACTTTCCGATCGACCAAAACGGCTATACCTACGCTTTCATTATGGTTGGATTTGCTATAACATTGCTAACATGTGGGTTTATGGCCGACTGGCTCATCAAATCAACCTCACTGTCCAAGACAATGGTGCGCAAGATTTTCCAGACTATATCGGGTGTAGGAATGGCCGCCAGTTTGATATTATTGCCGAGTGTTGGCTGCGATAAACCACTTAACATTACATTACTGACAATATGTATGCTGGCCTATGGATTTACTTCGGGAGGTGACGTACCGATAGTGCCCGACATGACTGAAGAGTTTGCCGGAACTGTGTTTGCAGTGATGAACACCCTGTGCTCGTTCAGCGGGTTTGTTGTGCCCTACTTTGTGGGCGTCCTTATCGATGACAACCCATATTCTATGAGACTATGGAGCTATTCCTTCTATTTGTCGGCAATTATCGACATTGTCGGCACCGTTGTGTTTGTTATGTATGCATCAGCTGAACCACAGCACTGGGAGGTAGAATCGTATAGTGTTTTAGAAAACGAAACACCTGTTGTCGTCACAACAACTAAAGAGACATTTAGTCTAAAAGATAATAAATTAAAAAATAATAACAAAAATAATTATAATACATGTGAATGTAATTTTAGTAAACAGTAAATTAATTATAAAATTGTATATACTGTAAAAGTTTTTATTAAATATATATATATATATAATAAAACATTTTATATTATCATAAGCTTATAAATTTTTATTCTCTACTTATACAGTACTCTACTATATATATATTTATTTATAAAATATGTTTTTCTAAATTAAACTTAATATTAATGTAAATTTTTAGTTTATTTTTAAAATTTTGAATATTTAACTATATTAACTTAACTAAGTAAAAATTTTATGTACTATTTTTTAATTCATAAACTATAAGTCGTTATTCATTAAATTGAAAATTATGTATAATTATTAGATAATTTTTATAATTATGTAAATTTTATTAATATAATACTAACAATAAAATATTGATTAAATTTTGAAAATTGTTACTATATTTGTATTTATGACAACTTTCTTTAGTACTAAATAAATTTGCACTAAAATATCATAAATCAATAAAAAAAAATTAATATCTAATTTATTTATAATCATAGCATAAGTAATAATAATAAATAAGATTATAAGATACTATATAAATAGAAATAATAAATAAAATAATATTAAGCAAATAGAGACAAATATATCAATAAATAGTAARTTATTTACTAAATTATAGTTAAATAATTGACAACTTTGATGAAAAGTTATATCAGTTTGCCCAGAGTCAATAAGATAATTATTAGTTGCATGGTCATTTATTGTAAACTTATATAAAACAAGTTGTTTTTACACACACAMAAAATTATTTGAAACATTGTATCTGGATAGTAATTTAATTAAGTCAATAAATATACTAGTTAATTAGTAATTTAAAAAAAATATATATTAAACCATTAAGATCGTGAGTATATAATAATTTTTAAGATCATATAAAGTGAAAAAAATTAAATATCCGATTAATATTTATATAAATGTGTATTATTTGACAAAAATAAGCTTATCTATATTTAACATTTGCTACAAAATTGCATAATTATTGTAGTTTAATAATATAATTAATGATATAATCTTATAATTAATTAACATTTACAGTATATATATATTATTGTTATGTATATTTGTTAAATTAATTAGTAAATGTACTGTATTTACGTAATATATCTAATATAAAAATAATGTATATTAAAAATGACGTATATTTTATATATTATTTRAAAATAAAACAAAAGAGTTAATTAATTATAATCAAAAATTTAGTATAAATTAATTATTAAACAAAGTTTACAACAATTTTGTTTAGCAAATAAATACAACTTTTAATAATAATATCATAAAGGATATTTTTATTTTAAAAAATTAACTTGAATAAATTAATAATAATAATTATTATTATTATTAGTAGTAGTAGTAGTGTAGTAGTAGTATCATTATTGGTATTAATCATAAAAGCACTTGAAATAAGATATTTATTTTTTGTTTACAATTATATTTCGTTGATTTTTAATAAAGTTTTTAATATTCTAAAAATATTCTATTAATAGGTATAACCWAAAATAAAACACTGATTTATTCTAATACTGTATTAATAATAATTGTTATATGATATATACAAATATTTTTTTTATTTGGATAATCATAAAGATTTTGAAAAAGTATATTAAATATTGATAGCAAATCAAAATTATATATATATACTGTATTATATATGTACTGTATATATAAAATGCCAAAAACTGTACTTTATGACAGTCAATATATTTGTATATACATTAATATACTATACATTTAACGATCACATTAGATGTGCATTTATTTTAGTTTTTTTATTTATGATTTATTAATGAACCTGGCTATAATACATATGGTGTCATTTTTCATGATTTATTTTTGAAATGTTTTCCCATTGGTTTTATGTTAAATTAAATATAACATCATTTCTAAATAAGAAATACAATATATATATATATATATATATATATATATATATATATATATATATATATATATATATTGCAAATTTCAAATAAAATATTTTAAGTGCAAATTTTTAGTTTTTATTATGTTTTTATAATTTATATACTAAATAAAAAAAATAGAATTATTATTTTATTTAAAATATAAATTATTAGATTATAATATGATATATTTAATTTTATTAATAACCTTTCAATGTTTTATACTTATACAATATTTAATAACTTAATAGTGTTGATTGTAAAATAAAATTATTTTTTCAAATATATTCTTATTTAATATAAAATTTAAGAAAATACTTGAAAAAGCAATTTATATGTTTATTACTAATATTATCAAACATTTTTGAATAGTATAAACAATATAATTTAATACTATTGAGTATAAAATATTATTTTATAAATTATATATTTTTATTATAATTATGTTTCCATAAAATTAAAATTAATTAAAAACAAAATAAAACATAATAATTGACTGACACTAACTTAATACATTAAAATCTATACAAATAATGATATCCAGCTAATTAGTTATAGGATATGTAGTCTAAACATTGTTTAGTGTATTATAAATAAATATAGTTTGTAAAAAAATTACTATCTTTTTATCATTATTAACTGACCAACTGATACATATTATATATATATATATTTCGCATCCAGGCTTACATAATATAATGTAATTATTTATTTTATATGTAATTCAATATTTTATTTTTTATATTTAAAAAAATATCAAATAAAAATAAACCAATTTTATTATATATCCTAATGTAGAGCACTATAGCCTATAGGAAGTATGTTTTACTTTCTACTAATTAAAAATATTCTTAAATATTTTATTATTTTAATTATAATAAAATACTCATTATTTTTTTTATTATGATAATCATTAAAATTTTAAAAAGAATATATATTCAWATTATTTGTTTTAGTTAATTATCAAAATTAAACATAACATTACTTTTTGTTTAGTTTATATATAATATTCAAAATAATTTTATAAATTTAATAAATTATTAAATATGCTATTTATATATGTTAATTACATATTCATTTTTTAAAAACTTTATTTTATGAAAATCTATTAATATCTATTTAAAACAACAATATTTTCTAATAAAAATAATTAATTATTAAACTGTATAAATAAATAATATTTAGTTAATAATAAAATTTTATAACATAGTTTTTTATAAAGATTTATAATCTCAAATCTAATTTATGATATTTTTTAAGAATTTTATTATTAATATTATTAAAAAAAACTAAATATAATTATTTATTTATAATTTTGCTAATATTATATTATAAATTAATTCATACAGTTATATGTCATACATAACTAACAAAAATACTTTTATATAAATAAATTTATTTAATAACAATGTTAGCCTTATTTTAAATTAAAGTCTAAGTATTTAATAATTAATTTGCGTATATAAAATTATTATTAAATAGTGTTTACTATTATATGTGTTTAATAATATATGTTTCATAAAAATATGATTCAATATTTAAAACTTAAAATATCGATTTTTGAAAGCTTATAATATAGTCTGTATTTGTTTGAAAATTTTAAAACATATTACAAAATTGTCAAATATTCAAAAATAGAATATTATTAAAAAACAAAAATATTAAATAAAAAATTGTTTATTTATTATATCATAAAAGTTGTCAAAAAAACTTATCTCTATAAAAAAAATTATTTTTTAAAAATCAAACTGTATATGCAATATAATAAATTTTATCTTGTTAATAATTAATTGATAAATTATAATTAAAAATATTTTTTCTTATTAGTAGGTATACTAAAAATTTATAAATAAACTAAAATATGTAAAATAATTTATAGGTTTTAAATTGAGCAATGATATTTAAAACTAAGTCATTGATTTTTATTATAAAAACATTAATATTAAATTTTACACAATTTTACAAATATAAAAATTATTTGTTAGATAACTTGTTTATTAGAGTATAGATATAATAATTTTAAATTGAGTAGAGTTTTAATAAAAATTTATAAAAAAACAGTGTATTTGTTTCTGTTTAGTGTCTATACTATAGAATTTATAATATTGTCAACTATTATACCGTATATATGACTACAGTTTTAGAGATGATAAAAATGCATATAAATATTTTATAGTTTATAAACTATAGTTAAAAAATAAATGTGATTATTTGTATTCAGTATATTAAAAATAAAATTGTAAAATATATAAATTAACACATAACAAGAATATATTTTACATATATTATTTTATTAATGTAATCTATTATGTCAATTAAAATAGTTATACTTTAAGTCAATTTATTATTATTGTTAGTTATGTTTATTGTTCATATATAGATATTATATTAAAAAGCTTAAAAAATTGTTATATAAAATATATAAACTAATTTTTAATAATAAAAATATTTATCAATTTATTATCAATATTTTATATATTAATATTTATAAATTATAAATAACTATTAGTTTTAGATTTTTATTATAATTTTTGTTTTCAGTTTATAAGAAAACATTAAATTTATTATTTGGCAATATGTTGTTGTTTTCAAACATATTAAATAATTTTTTTAAAACTTAATTTAATTGAAAAAATTTATAATCACAATACTAGTTTATACAAGACAATTCTAGCCATAAAAATGATATCAATATTGTAGACATATTTACTAGTATTGACTAGTATAGTGTTGTTTTCAATTTAAAGTAATTTTTTTTAATAAAAATTATTTTAAAAATATTAAAATTATTATGAAATCAATTCTAATGAATATTATTGATTATTTAAATACATATTTTATTTATCAAATAAATTGCATTTATACTGTAATAATGTGTAAAAGTAAAATTTAAAAAAAGTTTATCATTATAAAAACTAATGTCATTAATAAAATTTTATTATAATGATTGAAATACTAATATTAATATTATTAGAAATTCAAACTTAAAATTTGAGCTGAATATTATTTTTCATCTTGTTTTACAAAAATGTTTAAATTTTGTGTACAATATCCTATAAATAAATTTTTATTTAAT